AGTGTAGCGAATTATATAATAATAGTACAATACATACAATACAATACAAGAGTTACTCACAGTCCGGACACACAAAGAACAAAGAACATACTTGACGTGTTTTCCTGGTTGAAAGATACTGGATGTGTTTTCCCGGTTGAAATATACTGGACGTGTTTTCCCAGATGAAAGATACTGAATGTAGTCTCGCAGTTGAAATATACTGGCAGAGGATAGGTAATGGTTTGGTGTGAAGAAAAATAGTGTAGGTGTCTGACTGGGTGTCAGAAAAAAAGAAACTAGATGAGTGTGAAGCGAAACTTAAAAAGAAATATGGACTGTCAGACGGAATTTGGTCTGAACAGGAGTGTAGAAAAATGTATGAACATTGGTCGAAAAACAAACGGACAGAGATGGGTCTTATTTTAGGGAAACATCTGAGAATTCAACAGAATATTATAGAGAAAATGGAATGGGATAAGACACAAAAATCCCTGACGGAAAAGCTAAAATCAATGGCTGAACGAAACGAAGTTATTTATGCAGAAAAAGTAAAAGCAAAAGAAGGAAAAGAATCTAGGAGAAGGGTGGGAATTAGTGTGGAGATTTTTGAAAGAGCATTACCCACCGAAAACTGATTAGAGAAAAGTAACAGCATGGCAGCAAAGGAAAGTGAGGATGTTTCAGATTTAACAGAAAGGTTTATAACTTTATGGATAGTATACTCGGGGTTAGCCGATGAAAAGGATGTGAATGAAGATACTTCCACAGTAATAAAACAAATTTACTTGAGTGGGTTAAAACCTGATGTTTCCAAGAATGTACAAATATGCTTTTCTGATATTACGGAGAGCGGAGACAGATTTGATTTAATAACTCGCGAAGCATGTATGCAGAGGTGCAAGCGCTGCAAATGGGAGGTGAAAACACTCCCAAGGAGGAGAAAAAGGAGCCGCCAGTTTGTCGCAATTATAGTGTATATTATATTAATATTATACCGAGATATAAAACCCCTTCAAGAAAATAATGAGGACTGGGATAAATCTCCTGATTGGGCATATCCAGATGGAGGAAAAGGAGGACAAAACCCCAAAGATAAAACTACTAATAAGCTCGTGAGCAGTTATAAAAAAATGGCGTTTTTTGGAGAAATTGTAAGAAAGAGGCTTGATTTCACATTTAAAAAACATGTCATAAGCTGTAACGTGAACTAATAGATTTAATCTAGTAAGCCCCTTTGTAGCCTTCCTAAATTTATCTCAGTAAAAGTGAAATAATTTTACAGTGTCCAGTAACTGGGGAACACAGGAGCAAGCTGTCTTGTTTTTAGACTAAAACAGCATTTATGTGAACTACCTCAATAGAGCTATGTGATATTGTGATTGTTTTACCTAATGAGGGAATCCAGAAGGCCAGGCTACTCCAAGGGTATAAATCCAACTACATGATAAAGCCAGGGTAAATTCCTTCTCAGAACGAGCTCGCCTGGTGACAAACTGGCTAAAGGGAGGTAGTGCAGTCTAAAGACAAAATTGCCTTGACCCCTGCAGCAGAAACCGTTTTTAATGTTTTGAAACAAGCTTTCTTGCAGGCACTGGCCCTGGACTGGATTCCCTCAGACGGATCATCTGTATGTAATCTGTCTGTAAGTGAAAGAAATGGGTTGTGAGGTGCTGTGCTGGTACAGGAGCATGGAGGTACATGTAGGCATAGTCTGGTGGGTTATTATTCAGGACTACTTGATGCGGTGGCCAAGGGGCCGTGTGTTTATGTGTTAAGGTTTATGTGTTGTGCAGGCTACCTGCCTGGCTGTATAAATTGTGAATAATCTGGAGCAGAACCAGCAGACCTAATGAAAAGATTTAATTGAAACTTGTAAATATGCTAAATGGAAAATTGTATCGATTTATATAAACTATATATACATTTGGTGTATGCCACAATTTTGGATGGCTGGTGAGGAATAGGGATTTCCTCAACACGGCAGGGACTCCAGTTAAGAATGCTGGGTTTCTCTCCGAACAGTTAGAAGCTTTGCAGCTACTGACTAAAGTAGCTGTGGTAAAGTGTAAATCACATAATAAAGAAATGTTTCCAGTAACTCGAGGGAACAACTTTGCAGATGCAGCTGTCAGGTGAGCAGTCCTGGTAGAGCAGGAGTCTGAGACCCCTGTGAAACCTCTGTTGGTGAAAACGGAACAGCTACAGGACATTCAGGCTGAGACCTCTAAAGCAGAGAAAAGGACACGGTTAGAAAAGAATGTGGGGCTGCATGAAGATTGGGTGTGGTGCTGATAGCACACTGGAGCCCTGCATGCCCTCACAGCCTAATGTCCTTTTTAGCCCGACAAATGCACTGTCAGACACCCGGGTGTGAGTCAAATGATGTGCCGGTTACCCAAAACTGGGTGGGGACCGGGTTTGAAGCAGCAGCCACTTATGTGGTATCTCGATGTGATGCTTATCAAAGGAACTCAACTACAGTTCAGGTGCAGGTACAACAGCTCAAAAGGCATGCTCCTGAGGTACCTTTCATGCACTGGCAAATTGACGATTGTAAAGGGAAACCTTGGCTCTTATAATCTGTTTTCCCAATGTATTGCTGCCACTGCCTCTGTGTCTACCAAACACTTGATGATGGAGATAAGCTCTCGGTGGGCACTGCCCTGCCGCTTGTATTATGATGAAGGGACGCACTTCACAGGGAAAGTGTGTCAGGCTGTGGCTGCATTGTTCGGGGTGAGATGGACTGAGATCACCCTCAGATTGCTGGAACAGTGGAACGAAGGAACAAAACTCTGAAAGATCGACGAAACATCAGACTGAAGGAACACCATGGGTAGATGCTCTGCCTAAGTAGCCTGCGGGCTGGATCAAACAGAACTGTGCAACAGAGCCTGTTTGATATCATCACGGGCCAACCAACAATTAACCAACATTACTAATATTCAGTTATTAAAATTAACGCATTATGACTTTCAGAAAAACAACAGTAATGACAGTTGTTAGACATTTTAATACATTTGTTTACTTATTTAAAATGTGGTTATTTTTGAGTTTTCTTTTAATTTACCTTTGTCAAATCAAGCCAGATGCTACTGCTACACCTGAAGAAGCTTTTCTGTAGACTTTTTACTGCTTCCAAAGCACCATCTGAAAACTTAAAAAATATAAACCTATTAATACCTCACACAGCAAATATGATTTATTTTCAAATCTCACTTTAAACAATTCCTTTCAGAACATTTCAGATTCACTATTTTTGATATACTCTTTATTTTCATGTATTAATTTTTTATTATTTATATTTGTATTAATTGATCAAAATAATAATAATTACTGCTCAGTCATTTATTTCTAGCTTGGACAAGTTAATCATTTTCAAGTTATTTTTTCTCATCACAAGAACAAAGGAAAACTACCAATGAAAGTAGCCTGTTTGCTCCATTTGATTAATTGATTACTGACATCTTATTATTCTTTATCCGTGGTTTAAAAGACTTTACACCTTTATAAAGGTTGGGCTTGCACTCACTTTAGTTGTAAAAAAGACATTCTAAATTATATAAAATGATGTCATTATCCTGTTTTGCACTTACCTTTTGATCGGCCACTGCACTGTCCTTTGGAGTACTGAATGCTTGCTTTATGAGTTTTAACCTTTCGTCCATATCTTTTTGGGAAGCATCAAAAGCACTCTGTTAAGAAAATACATGTTGTAATTCTGTCTTAATATGTATTTTCTTCAACATTAATGTATTATGTGATCAAATATGATAACATTTAATGAACCAGGCCTGTGCTTTGATCATTTAAAGCACAGTGTATGCTTTTATAAGTCAGTGATGAATGGAACACTGAGGTTCCATTTCAGGTGGCCAGTTTACAAATAGAACCAAAGTGGTATGAAGGACCTAGAGGAATTCTGTCTGGAGGAATGATAAGAAATCCAACTCAGAAGTGACAGACCCTCATGGCACTACAGGAAGCATCTTGTCAGAGGAGGATTTACATAATGTTAACAATCAAGGTCATGAATAAAAGTAATGCACATATTATCTGGAATTCAATAATTTGTTGTTGTCAAGTATGACTCTACTCTGTTATTGCTGTCTTCACTATTACAAAGACTGTATAACATTTCTAGATTTTTTAAGACCGACATTATTATGAATATGAATAAATGTAAAGCACAATATATAACTTAATATCAGAATTATTTGATAATAATACAAAAACTACTACTACTACTACTAATAATAATAATGATACGTTTATTATTTTTAGAATTTATTATTCATATTTGGACTGAAAGGTTGTCAATCTGTAGTATAGTTGTGCCTAGATCATTCAAAACTGGCATAATAGAAATATTATAATAATTGGCGTAAACACTCTCCCAATATTAAATGATTCAAGGTAAGACATAAATATCCTAAGATCAATAGATACAAAATGCTGTTAGGAGGGATTCTGTAATATCAGGTTCAGAGTCATGTAAAAGTGGAAACTAGCAAGAGATGAACACCACACAGTGTAGATCCCATGAAAAGTATTTGAATCTTTTTATTTTAACCCCACAGGTTAAAAGGATATTGTAATTTAATTTTTGGTACATTTACTGCATAAACATTTAGAAACAGTGAAGCTAAAAAAGAGATTTGACATTGCTCTTTGGTGCATTTTATTTTTTCTAATACATTAATTTCCTGAGAATAAAACCTACCTTTATGATGTTAAGTTTAGTTTCCCAGTGTTTCCCTTCCACTATGTGTTTCCGAACCTGAGGTTTTAGCAGATCATATTTTTTAACTAATTCAGTTTCCCTGCATGGGTCATTTATGTTTTCTGACAGGTAACCATCACGGTCTATTTCCAGAGAAATGTTATTCTGCATCCTAAACAAAGAAACAGACCATGAGAAGATTTTAATTAAACATTTAATTATAGTAACATAGTGCTTGCAACTTACAGCTTACATTTTAGTAATAAAAGAAAGCAGTCACTTTATTAACTTAAATAGGTGCTTTCTAAGATATGTATAGTTAAAAATAAAACATTCTGAATTTTAAAACCACAGCCGATATTCATAAAGATCCCAGTCATCTAAGATGAGATATCCAAAACTGCTGTGACTATACAACCAATCTTTTGAGAACAATTGTGTAAAGCTTGGATCACATGCAAGTATACATTATTGTAAAAACAAACAGTCTTTTTTTTTCCAGAATTACGGTACTATATTAAAGGAATATGAAAAAATGAAGAATAAATCAAGTGGCTTACTGTTCTAATTTTTGTAATTATTCATTAATTTAAGAATTCTTGGTTTTGCATAGAATGAAGATGAATGATGCCCTTGTGTGATTTATTTGACAAAACTGACATTTCTATTTGAAGCGGCTTGTTATCTCTTCTTTCTACCACTTAATAAACATTTATTTCATACCCCAGAGTAATCTACATTGCAATACACTTAGCATACTAAGATGGAACTTAATGAAAAATAATAACATTTGTAGTAAATAATCAAATATTTATAAAGCATTCTATTTCATCATTACCTTCTTCTGAAATCATCAAACTCTTTATTATATTTCTCAGCCGCTTGAAGCTGCTTCTTTGTATTTTCTAGCTCCTCTTCATACATTTGATCTCTGCAATTATAGACAAATAAAGAGGACAGAAGCTAAAATCTTACAGAACATTTTCAAAATATGATCCAAACTTATTTCAAAGCAAAACATCTTCTCAATGGGAGTACTGACTTTCTGAAAAAAATAGAGCTTCTAAACCATTTCTCAGTGTAAAACGATTTCAAGAAATCATCACTTAGGCTACATTGCCATGCAGCCACACACTCCTTTTGGATATTTTTGAAAAATATTTTCAAGGAATTGAAGCATTATTATTATTTTATTTCACAAACCACATGCGAAAACAGGAAGCACATGATAATGAGGTAGGAATCAGGATGCGCTGGACTGTGTTCTCGATATATGATAACAATTAGTAAAACTAATGTAAGAATGAATATTGTTTTGTAAATGTACAGCATTTGTGATGCAAAAAAGGGGTACGTAACTGGCTGTGTCTGCTTTTGAATTTTTGAGAATTATTGGTATACCAGGGGATCACTGGAATTCTGCCTGTCTGTAGAGTAAAGAAAGTTGGTAAATTAAAACAAAACCCTAAGCAGCCTACCTGGCAAGTTATTTATACACACTGAGGATGACAGATGAAGTGTCACTAGATCCAAAAGTAGAGTTAGTCTGTGTCAACCTGATTGTTTTACTATATATATTAATATAAGAGCTTAATTTTTAACCTGATGTTTGCATTTTGTGACAATTTCCTTATAAAAAATATACACTGACTAGCCTTCTTAAAAATATACTACTTAATAGTACTTGACATTCTCTGTAATATTTAAATATTTATCTATTACCATTCCTAAGTGTTTGAAACACTGAACAACCTCCAGAGGCTGATTAATAAAGGTTGAGAGAGGTTGAAAATCAAATTCTAAACTTTATTAGAGATCATGTAGCACAAGAGAATCATTTAATGAATCATTTAATTTAACTTTTCTGGGCTCTTGATTAGCTCAACTAGTAAAGTAGTTGTTTAAGAGAGCTAATCAGTGTCCATTATACACGACTTTCTCAGCTGTATCTTTTAGGAATTATTTACATTGTTAGATGTATGAGTTTATCTAACACGTTAGATAAATGTATGCATCCATTTGCAATATTAAGGAGATACATACAGTGGCATTATAACATCTCCAAATACTTGAGATCCAAGTATCTAATTGTTGAGAAAAACTAATTGTTAAATAATAAATATACTATTTTTTTGCAAGCATTGAGTTATTTTCAAGCTGCATGATGAAACTCTTTCTCACAAGTATGGAAACATTTTCTTAATAATATAGATGAAGCAATTCAGAATTTGCATAAAAACCCATTAACGTGTTACAGGGGCTGTTATGAAAACATTAATGTACAGTAAGTTAAAACATTAGCTTCCTACAACAAAAATGTAAACTTTTTTATACAGTACTTTTTTTAAATCCACTTAATATGGAATAATAATCTGAAATCTTATAACTAAGGGAGATGAGTGAAAATAGCTAAAAATGAAAATAGCTTCTGAACTTCATCAACAATATTGATTTATGATTATAATTTATTTATTTTGCTGGTTGTGGTAGGGTATTCAACTTTTTTCCATAAATATCTGCATCTTATTTAAATTGGTTACTTGTGGTTGTTTTGGAAATGTATCGAAATGCTTATTTTGATCTTCTACATTTTCTGTCTTGACTGATACAATGGAAAAAAGCTTGTCTAGACAAGTTGCTCAAACTGAATGACGATTTGGTTTAGTGGCAGATTTGTTGCCTGTGACCTAGAAGGTCCTGAGTTTGCTTCCTAGCCAATGTACTAGTTCTACTTTTAAGACACAAAGTCTTTCTGTAATCAAATCAAATAATATTTATATAGCATCACTATATCTAATATATGTAAATACAAATATAATATTAATGATACATGAATGAACATGAATGAGAAAAATAAATTTGAGTAGGGAGTTGTGTCAGCTGCAAAAGTAGAGGTGGAGGATTATTCTCCGCTGAAAGGGAGACAGGCTGTGTGTGAATGAACAAACGTCTGAATACTGACAACAGGGGTGAATACTGACAGTTCTTCTGGCCAGATCAGACCAGCAATCTCCAGTTCTTTAATGCCACAGCATTTCAGTACGAAGTGGCATTAAAAACACAAACAACAAACAGTTTAGTAATGTTATGCAACCAAATAAAAAACGTGTTTGCATCTCCCTTGACTGCTAGGAAGCACATAAAAAAATCTATTACACTATTAACATAAATTAAAACATGTACCACTGCCTGACAAACAGCAAGATCCTAAATTATCAACAGTCCACAACTCCACAGCTGAGTTCCACCCCTCCTCTTTTCAAGTCTAGCAGCATGCAACAGGGCTCCCTTGTTGATGAAGTGCTGACAGGTTACAGATCAATGACATAATTTGCCATCCAGTCACCACACTTTTAATCACTTAAACAATCTATAGTTTCTAGTTCAGTTATTTGCCTTTTCTACAAAATGAAGGTGAATGAAGGGGTTCATGCAGGTGACAAACCCCAAAATGCTTTTATCATTTTTAGTGAATTTTAACGTTAACCCCTCTACCGCCAGCTCCTGTACGGAGCAAGTGTTATGAGCACACGGGTGTGAGGGTTAAAGTGGAAAACTGTTTCATGACCAAAACAAAATTAATATATATACCTTTTTCTGCCTTCTTCAAGTTTTCCCTCATATGTCTTGATTTTCCATTCAGTCTCTCTCTTCATTTTGTCACAGTTCTGACAGTCATATCTTGTGTTTTGGGAGCTGTAAAATAAAACATACAACAACTGTAACATCTTTTTTCTAATACTGTCAAATTTATTTCTCATTGTACTGTAAGGTTTATACAACGATTAAACATTTAGAAGAGATTATTTGTGTGCATCTACTGTGAAATGTAGTAACAATAGCTCCTAAGTGATGTTTTTAAATGCAGTGTCTATGGTATATAACACCATCATGATGAATAACACCTGCTTTGTGAATATTTGAGTTTTTAAGCATAATCCTCTTGGTTAAAAGGTAGACCCTGTCCATAGGATGAGGACAGGGTCAAAAGAAACAAGTAATCCCCGAAACCACTAATGAAGAGACAAGGATGGAAGGAACATAAAAGCTCAGTATAGAAAAGCACACATTATCATAAACAGAAGGCAGGCATTAAAGCTGCAGGATTTTTACATATTGAACCGCATATATGATGCCAGACAGACCTCTGGCCAAGGAGATGGCATCAAGAGCATCAGTGACAGAGGAAGGAAGCCAGGTCCCAAAGGAAACACGTGAATCCTAAAACTACTTATGTTGAAACAGAGAAGGAACATGGAAACACAGACCTAACATTAAAGGAGAAGGCATACATCAAACGCCGTGACTGAGCCAGAGACAAAACACAGCCAGCCATGTGAATAAGAGATAGGCTGCTGGACAGACACGGGACTGAGGAGAAAACATTAGGAGTGGCAGTGGCCAAGAGGAGGGGACCTGGGGCCGAACTGGATACTGGGAACAGCATAAACAGTAGGAAGCCTGCTGTCTGAGCAGGAAGTAGAATGACAGACAGACCCAGGGACAGAAGAGAGCACAGAACAATGTATGGGCTATGTACAGATGCAGCCACTCAGAATGCTTGAGGCATAACGTGCCATAGTGCTAAAAATTGGGAGAATAAAGTTCTAAAGTTCAATTATTTTTTTTCCTTATTGCAGTGTCTAACAATGTGACTTAACAATACATAAGACAAATTATGCAATGAATAAATAACAATGCATATTTGATTTATGATAAATCCACCAACATCAACACAGCTCATGCATATTTGTTTCAATGAGAAAACGCTAAGACTGAACCTATGAATAATAGTGCAAACCCCCAACAACCACATCACTGATACAACACATGTATAACTCACAATATTAGGTGATAAACAGTAGAATTAACAATTACAATACACACCACTTTTAAAACAAATCTGAAATCTTTTAAAACATAAGTTATTAAAACTTGTCCCGTCCACTTGGCCAACAGCTTGTAGTCCTTGGTTGCCCCAGAACATGGTAGCATTCACACACACTCAGGTCACTTGTCTATATGCCCGACACCTCATCAATCTTCCAATCCCCTTGAAACTCTCCATGCGTGGAGAGGACGGAGCAAGCTTAATACCATTTTCACCACTTGATTAGTGCTCTGACATTGTGAGCCTTTTTAGGAGGTGCTACACTTTGTCTCAGCTGAAAGGAAGCTGTCAGCCTGAAAGCCTGTAAACCCGAAAGGGTTCTGAAACCTGAAACTTTGTTTGAATTCCCAACCCCAATCCTCTGGAGTCTCCCCTCAGCCGCCTCCTTTGGTTTTTGCCATACCTCCATACCATTCCTCTCCTGTTTGTTTCTCCAACTCTGTTCTCTCCACCACATGCCAAGGATTACTGAGCCCCTGGACTTGGATCTCTGTCAGTCTCAAGACCATCAGCCTCATCAAGCCGCGGCACAACAAACCTACTGTATTTCACACCTGTATGTGAGATCATGGAGGGCCCAGTGGGTGTTATGTTTTGATTACTGAGGATGTTAAAGTTGAATGAGCACCAGGGCATTGTTTCACAAGGTAAGATTATTAATCAGATGGATAACTTTATTAAATATTTATTTAATGTGTTGACAATAGTCTGGATTTTCACAAAGCAAGATCAAATTGTATCCAGTTGGGAATAAGCCACATGACATACGCCCCCTACAGAGAGCACAAACAATTAATGCTTTAATTGCATTTATTTGTGTTTTGTTTGTGCCTTTAAAAGAATTGTTTTGTTCCAGAGACATACTGTAGAGCCTTATTTTTCACCTTATTTCATGTGACTATGTACAGTACAAGTAACTTGACTGCTAGAAACGCAATCTGGACAGTTCATGCACTGAATTGAATTTTTTCTGTGCGTTTGTGTGAACTGTAAAATAAATCTGTCTACAAAAACCACAGGATTTGCCTTAAAATGGAACATTAGCAAACAATTACATTTTTTAAATAAAAAGCTTAAACTAGCATGTCATAATACTTTGAGATAAGTAATACTTTGTGGGTCTGTCAATATTTTTTTTAACCAAATACATAATCTACTCTGTTTGTCATTGAATCCTTTCCAAAATAACGAGGCAATTCAAAGAATAATTCAAGTTTCAACCCATCTGTTGAGCTACACATTTAAAAATGTTAGAATGGGCTATTAAGGGCTTAAAAGACCATTGTTGTACTATTTTATGGAAAGCAAATACACAAATATACACATACATATACAGATATCTAGATATCTAGATTAGATTTGATTGTTATTTATTGTATTAGTAGCAATTTATTTTTAAAACAGTATAGTATGTTCTGTGTTGCAGTGAAATTGGAACATTTTTTACAATGATAATTCCACCAATCCATTTTCTAAACATTTTATCAAGTACAGAGTCGCAGGGTAGCCAAAGCCTATTCCAGCAAGCAATGTGTGCAAACCAAGAAACCCTGGATATAGCGATATAGCGTCTTATTTTTCAGGGTCTTGTGTCACTCTGTGACTTTGCTATATTATTATATTATGAATGCTATATTATAATTATGATGTCACTATTTGATCATTAAATTGGATATATTACCGGTCCTGTGAATTTATTTTGAAACTAAAGTAATTTAAGAAAAATATTTTAATGTGACAATAAATACTCCAGTAATTAAGAAACTTTGTTTTTCAGAAATGTCATGTTGGGCTTCCAGCCAGTAGTAGACTGGTGAAGCTGTAGAAGTTGCAGCGGTGGTGTTGTACAAAAATGCAGCTAATATGGGGACTGACTAAAGTTTGTAGCAAAATGGCTGTTGTCCACACATGGCTGTAGAAGCTACAGTGGAGACAGGGCGCCCACAGGTAGATGCTGAAGCAATAGCTACAGGGGAAGGTAACCTACTGGAGTGGCCACAAGTCTGTGATTACTCATGGGAATGCTCCCAGCCTCCCAGGGCAACTGCAGGCTACGGTCCACCACCGGCATGAGGTGTAACAGACTAGTTAAGTATTACTTTTTAATACTTTCTGTTAAGAAATGATGCTTCTGTAATTTTACTAGTACTGTAAAAAGTTCACTTTACCTCTTCCTCCCCTATTAAAACAGGAGAACCAGAGCCTATTCCAGCAAGATGCACTTGCAAGGCAAGATAGACCCTGGTTGGAATGCTTGTCCATCGTACACATTCACACCACATTTTCCTAAAAGCCAACTAAAATGCCAGTATGTTTTATGAATCTGGGAGGGAACAGGAACACATAGAGGAAATTCACACAAACACAGTGAGAATATACACTTACATGGAAGTTCAGGAATTGAACCCAGAGCACCAGCCCTGCAAGACAGCAGTGCTATCCCCAGCACCACTAAGCAAACCACCTTTCAAATTAATCCAAAGAACATTTTTGGCATGACTGATTAATTTCTTTTGCCAATGTTGAGTTTGTTTTACCATCTCGTACTACCTGTATAAGCATAGTTTGCTGCAACTCTTAGCTGGTGAGTCTCATCTTCTATCTTGGACACAAGCCTTTTATGTCTTAGGGCATGGAATTTGTCTAGTAGCTCCAGCTCTGTGAACAGGGAATCAAGGGCGGGTTGCTAGTACTGTATTTTATAGCCAGTTCCAAAATGTTCCATTTTTGGTCTAATGCTTCTGTGTTTGGGATTTGTTGGTAGATTTTCATAAGAGGTTTTCCAGACTAATCCATTTTGAATGGCCAGTTCTTCTGGTTTTGATTGAAGTCCCCAAAATGGTTTTGATTTATCGACTCCTCAATTTCTGAGTTTCTTTTTCTGTTTATGTGTGTTTTTCTTTTCTTCTATAAGGTGTGTTTGTAGTGTTTTACCATTTCACAGTATCTGAGGTGCAGATCTGTACTGTGTGGTTGTGTGTGTTTTTTGTTTTGGAAGTTGTAATACTGTCTTTCTGCTGTTTCTGTAGTTAAATGGGAACATTTTGGTCCCATTCTTTATTTTGTTTTGGTTTTTGTGCCTTGCGCTCGTTGCTTGCCGGGTTTATAAAGCGGTTTGGTAAACGACATGACATAACATTTATGTCAGTTCTGTTGGTTCAAAACAGAGTGTTTAGACATATGCTCAATCATGTGAATTTTCAGATTTTTGTTTAGAGCTCTTTATTAGGAGAGAGGAGTTTGTCTAAAAAAGTAGGGGTCCAGGTCAGAGACAGCACTGTACACTACTGACCAGAGCTGAGCTGCAAGAGAACCTTCCCAAAGAGCCAACTCTCTTCCTGTCATTGACCATGTACAGATGCAGCCATTCAAAGTTCACGGTAAAAACCCGTACCGCACGCATCTATGCACGAACCACCACGCCGTACCGTGGTACATGATTGACTGGCCAAGATGACCGACAAGGGCACTCCTGGTGAATTGGTCGGTAATGAAAAGATTTAATCATGTAATATCTTTACTGTGCATGTTTTAATCCACTTAGTATTGAATATTTATATGGAAGTTTACTACTAAAGGGAATTTTTAGTAGCTGAGCATAAAAAGAAGAGGAGCATAACGCATCTGAAGGTCATAAACGATATTAATTTAGGAACATAAACATATTATGTAAACTGCATATTGCTGGTATTGGTATTTTAAAGAAAAAATACACACTCGTATTCCATTTCTCCCTAAAAATGTTAAGCATTGAAGTATTACATGTGGTTATTTCGGAAACGTTTTTACGTGCTCCTTCTGAACATATTAATATATACTTTGTGAAAAGTGATAGTCTTTTAACCTTTTCTGCGAATATGCTCGTTATCGGAGTAAACAAAGCATACTTTGATTAATAGGGAATATAATATGGAATCGTGTATCTAAAGAAATGAATAACGATATAATTATATTCATGTACTGTAATGTAAACAGTAGTATAAGACTTTCTATTGATATGTGTACACTTGTTTCAGTGTTTGTCACATGACTGCATCAGTAGCATGATGGTTTAAGTGACTGACTTCTAAGTGAGATGTTGGGTGTTCAAATCCAGCTATCACCATGAGTTTTCTTTTAACAAACATTTCTTTGAAAAACTAAAATAGCAATAGCAAAATAGCGATATTATAGACACTCTAATGACTTTTTTATATTTCTAAATATCACAACATGTTCGAATCTAAGGCATTTGTAAATAACAATGAATAGTCTCAAACTTCTACTGATATCATTATCATCAATATGTGAAAAAAGTGAATCCTGTTTTTTTATCGTCTGTAGCTCAAATTCTGCTTAACTAAAAATTAGACACAAGAAGAGTATTATTGGACAATGTTGTGAGGCTAAAGAAATCAATAACGATATTAATTCAAAGATCTAAATATATTTAATGCATACGCCTGACATACAGTAAGAGTGTGTGTCTGCTCGCCTGCGCGGTGATGTCACCGTCTTTCCCTCTGAATAGCTAGCAGGGACCTGTGCCGTGTGGATCCCTTTAGATCTCCCTTCAGATTTAAAAGGTTATTAATAATATCTTCAGTGTCGCATTAACATTGGAATGTTTTTCCAAGTGTAAAGGTGGTACGCAACGTGTCTCCTTCATACATTTTCAGTTTACAGACCGTTTACAAGATCATTTTTTATGAATAATGTATTCCGTATCGCATTAAAATTGGAACGCTTTTCACAGGTGTAAATCCACCTACAGTGTATTTTCTAACCGGTTCATCCAGGACGGGTAACAATTTCACAACCCACCCTCCCCCCTGCCTGTCTGGCTTTTTTAACCCTTCTGTGCCCAAATTGTTTTTCGTGCACAAAAAGTGGTCATTAACTATCAAAATCTGTTTTTATCGATTTTAAAGTCATGCAATTTCTAAGTTAAGCAGGAACACATCATTACATCTATTTTTTTTAATTAAAAAATTTGATTGCCCAGCCTAAGGGGTGTTTGTAATATTGTGGCATTATTATATAGGACGGACACAGTGACTCAGGCACTCGTTGAATGAAAAACAGTGCTTTATTTTTTAATACAGCTGAATACAGAGAAACACACTTTTTCATATATAAGATATTGTAACGCAACGGGGTTCAGGTGGTCGCCCTTGCCTCATTAGGTTGGCCCCCCACCGTCGGAGACTCGAACCCGGGACTCCCGCATCACTCAACAGGGACCCAGCCCGGTGAGCTAAAGAGATCTCTCCACAGCCCAGTAGCTGTAGTCCTGCTATCACAGGGAAGGGCAACAGTACCTGTCGGCCATATGCATTACAATATATTATATATTTTTCATATATAAGATATAATGATATGTTCCTGCTTAGACATTGCACTACTTTAAAAGCTATAAAAACAGGTTAATAACCACTTTTTATGTGCGAAACATTCGCCTTGCACCGCCAGGCGAATGCGCTACAATATATTTTACAAAATTATAAAATTGCGAAACGTTGTCTGGTTTGTGCAAACTGTGACTTTAAAAATATGGTTAGCAAAAACGATCACTTTTGAAAAGAAAGGCGTAGGCGTAAAAGAAATACCTACTATTTTATGGTAGTAGCTGTTGATTTAGTTAGTGCACGTATACTGCAGCTTCTACTTAAAAGATCTTACAGATCATATCAGATCTCTGTTCTGGAGTAGGAAGCACAACATAACAGTAAATGTAAGCACAACGTAATGTTCTTGCTAACAGGGGTTTAACATACAAGAACAGCATAGTATAATACATGTTATTTTTTATTTATCTGAAAAACCAGAACTTTGTCTTTGAGTAAATTTTTTTCGGTAAATGTTAATACATACAAAAATTATCTACTTGCCTCAATATGGTTCCCATTTCCTCTTCCAGTTTACTTATGCGTTCGCCTTGGCTGCTAACAGTGCTTTCGAGAAAACGAAATCTTTGTTCTATTACAGTTGTTTCTGTGCTACTGTAATAAGTACTGTATGCCATTGATGAGGAAGAATGGAATGTTCTTGCTGTAGTAGCGCGGAGATGAGAAATGAAAAACCTACCAATTCTCTGTGACCAATATCTAGACATACACAAGCCACAGCTCACGGAAGTCTTAACTGGTATTTTTATATATAGTACTCGTAATACTATCGGTAGTGTGTTAACATATTTTTGGTTTCGTTTCTACGGAAACGAAAGTTGAACGGACAGAGGGACTTTCCAAGAAATTGCAGTTTCGTTTTAATGTGAACTTGGAGCTGTCAGTCAACTGTCTTCATTATGTTGAAAAGTATGCCAGTGTTCGTCACGTGTAAAGGTGTCTAAATTTTATTTCCTAATTCTGAATTTAAACGACAGTAGAATTAACTTTTTTGTTAACATTTGTAATTCGGTTTATTATTTCGTTCTAAAGAAATGGTTAAAAATCGTGTTTTGCAGTAGAACAAGCACTTCTGAAGAGAAACATGTCCTCTTTCATGGTTGTAGCTATTGATTTTGGGACTGCTTACAGCGGATATTGCTTCTGTGTGAAAGATCGTATAGAGAACATTCGGTCTGTGTTCTGGGGTATGGAGCATGGGCATAGGTCCCCTAAAACGCCGACTTGTATTTTGTTTAATGAGCATGAAGAATTCATCAGCTTTGGATATGATGCAATGATGAAATATAATAGGATGACCTCTACTGAAGCTTTGCGTTACTTTTTCTTTGAAAATTTCAAGATGGATTTATATAATAAGGTAAGGTGCCTTATAAATAACACAACCTTTTTTTTCCCTCCACAATATCTTTGATTGCAAATAAGAAATTGTAATAATTAAGATACAGGTTATTAATATTTGGTATCTTTTTATTTGAAGATAAAATATGAATAAGCACATTTCAGATACATTGTATAAGTATTTGAGCACCATGTAATAAATTATTTAAAATAAAAATTAAATATTGAAATATTGACTGTTTTTCTAATTGTATACTAAAATATACTGCATATACTATAGTACATACTACTAGAAAATACTAGTACTTCTGGCATTTTCAATACACTATATTGTGAGTTTTTTTTTAATCAGCTTGCAAATGTAATTATAAACTTCTAAACGAAATTAATTAAGACAATTTGTATCAGAAATTGGAGATGCCTCAAACAACAGTTACTTCAGTCTCCTGTACAGCTGCAACCAGTGTTGAGTTCCATTCAACTCCCAGAATCACCAGTGCATCCATAGACTAAACCAGACAGTTATGGTAGTATCATATTGCTGTTGCAGTGGACCATGAGAAGCTAATGTTTTGTAATGTTCTGGTACAGTGGTTAAATGCTCGCCTGCTACTAAGAAGGTCTAAAGTTTGATTTCTGGTCTAAGCAGAAGTTTTATTTTACAAAATGAAAATAGGGCTGTTTTATACTGATATTGTAAATTACTCGGCTGGATATCTAAAAAAAAAGCTGAAAGAGAGTATGAGCTGGGTGAGAGGGGTCTGGGATGATTTTCTTTGCAGAATTGGAGATACTGCTTGAGAAATTAAATAGAATTAAATAGAGGGGAGTTCACAGCTAAAATATTTGCAACTTTGAACAAAATCCTTTCCAGTTTGCCTTTTAAATAGTTATCCAAGCTCCCATACCAGACTAATGGAGGTTGTTAGAACACTTTGGATTATGGCTGTGTAGAATTGAAGAGGAGTTGCTGGTTCACTCTGTGTTTTTTGAGTTGCCTGAGAACAAACATGTCTGCTGTGCTTTCTTGACTATGTGGTCAGTGTTGGTGCTCCATTTAAGATCACTGTTTATATATGTACTGTACCCAGAAATGTAAAAGAGTTTGTTGTCTTTATAGGAAGATCATTCATGAAGATTTGAGGTTTTGTGTCCTGGATGCGTCAGAAGTCAATGATGATTTCCCTGGTTTTAGAAGCATTGAGTAGGAGGTCGTTGTCCAAACACCAGGCTGTTCCCCAGTCAATCTGCTTTCAGTAACTAGTCTCATCATTATTCGAGATGAGGCCAACAATGGTAGTGTCATGTGCATATTTGAAAATCTTGCAAGAGTCATCCTGAGATGTGAGCTTGTTTGTGAAAAGGGAAAGAGGCTGTGGTGATAGAACACAGCCTTGGGGAGCATCTGTGCTGAGGGTCAGAGAGCAAGACATCCTGTTATTCACCCAGACAGTCTGTTGGCGATGTGTTAAAAAGTCCAGAATCCAACAACACATAACAGGGATGATTTTCAACTCCATCAGTTTACTGAATAATTTATGTGGATTAATGGTATTGAATCCTGAGCTGAAATCCAAAAAAAGGATGTGGGCATAGGAATTTGGCTTGAGGTGCTTAAGGCTTGAGGCTTGTTTGAGGTGCTTAAGGACTAGACATTCAAAAGCTTTCATAGCCACCAAAGTCAGAGCAACTGGTTTGTAGTCATTGAGGCAAGATATTTTTAGAGATTTAGGAACAGGTATTTTAGTGGATATTTTAAAACTGTGAGGGACTTTCTGCTGAAAAAGTGAAGTATTATAAATGTTGGTAAACACAGGAGCCAATTGATCAGCACAATAGCTGAGGGTTGCAGCTGACAAATTGTCTGGACCTGTGGCTTTCCTTTTATTTTGTTTTTTGAAGATTGCTTGTGTAGTGTATTCTAAAAAACTGACCATTACCATTATTCTTTACTCCCGTCTTGCGTGACAAGCAGCCCCTTCTGCTGAATTGCCCCTTCGTTCCAGGAGAGGTCACTCAGTCAATTTCCAGAGATCAGCTGTACATAAAGACCCCTTGTGTTATCTTTTGAGACCAGATATCCTGAGACGGATTTAGTACAATATAAGTAAAAAGATATATAGTTAACAAGATATAATACAAACTTTTAGTTAATTCCTTCAGTCCCCCCTTTAGAAAATATTGCAATTAGCCAATTGTTTTCTAAATGTATCCTGTGATTACCGATGAATTATTTGAGAGAATTTCATGATTCTTTATGGTGTCCTAAATGAGTGATCAGGACTGAAGTAGTAGCTTTAGTGCAGAGGGATTTAATACAAGTTAGTATAGTATGACAATAGTTATTAGAAACAGTACTAATCCTACTAGTACGTATTGCATCAGCGGGCCCCCCAATGACCCGAATACAGGATATATTCTGGAGTGATTTGAAGAGAATGGGCTATGTGTCTGTATTCGCACATGGGGTATTCCAAAGTCTAAATAACTCCCCTTCCAGTTAGTAGGTAGCCAAGGGCATGCATTATTCTTTCGATTTCCACCTGTTATCACTCTGGTGAACAGTAGGCAAATAAAGTTGGAGACATTGGTATGTGTGACATCAAGGTCCCTTAACCATTTAAGAAAATTACAATCTGAAGTATTATTACAACCCCACCATCTTATATTACTTATGTTGTCCAGTTTTAACAAAGCCCCCAAATAGTCCGATAAATTGTAAAGCAAGGGCATGAGAGGAAACCCCCGTCATATACGTGGGGATTGCTAAACACACCCATCATGAACTCTTGTTAAAGTCTCAAGCCAGCTGGTAAGAGAGAACCAAGAATGTATTAACATCATGATCTCCAGTGTCCATGCGGTGCTGTGCATGAGGTTTTCAAGACACCCCCCATAGTTACACTTATTAAGCACAGCAATAAGAACATTTCATCTATCTCCTGCAGGTTGTGGTTCGCGTTGACAATGAGACGCATGAATCCACCGGTCCCGCCCTTCTATTTAATCCACTGAATCGGTAGTCAAGAGCACTTGGAAGGAGCCCTCCCAACGCGGCTGTAGCATCTGAGATGGGATACTTTTTATCCAGAC